GATGTCTCATATATCACCCCATTATTCTTAAATTAATATTTTTCTTTTGTTTTTAAGTTCATTTTCTTTTGTATCCAGCTTTGACTCTTAGGGTCTGTTTGGTTCGCAGTTGGAATCGGAATTGGAATTAAGCTTCAAGGAGGTTGGCTTGTTGAACGGAGAAAGGGTAATGCAATTGGAGCTCTGAATCGAAGGAAATGAGTGAGAGATCCTGAAACATATGGACATCATGGTAGCAGAAGCCAGAGTTTCTGTCCAAATAATCTATCCGTTCATTTGTCAACCTTTTTAAACACAAATTACTGTGTGGATAGGAAAGTTCAATAGCAGAGAGTGGAGACTGGAGAGTCCTCGAGCAAGCTTTCTTCATTATCCTCAGCGGAGGATGTCTATGACGAACCATGGTCTGTACTCTGTACTCTATTACCGGACCCGGATGCACGACAGAGATGTGACGTCAAGGATTTGGAACTTCGGAGCACCCTTCAACGGGTCCCATCTTGAAGATCTCATGGTGCTCTGGATCCATTAAACTGATTAAAGGTAGTTCTTTCATGGAACCCAATTTGGAGCATGGATTATCCAAGTCAATCCGGATATAGCCAATAGGGTCTGACAGATGACATCGTCCTCTAGCAAGTGTAAGGCTTAAAATATGCAGGTTTGATTGAATTGAATTCGTTTTCTGAGTCGGGGGCTTATTCATCCTACCCAAGTTCATAGATTGAAATTTTGGTTCGATCTGTTGCAAGTCGCCTTTGCTGAATGCGAATGTAAATAAATAATCTTTTCATGATCAGTGACTGAAGATTTGAATGCTATAAAAATTAAAATACAAGCAAGATCTTTCGTGATTTGAATGCTATAAAGATTAAAAATTTAAAATACAACAAAGATTTGGCTTTCAAGAAATACATCCATCCATTTATATAATTTTTATAATCAACTCTTAGAGTTCAGGATGTGAACCAAACTCCCAGCAGTTATTTTTCATGATTGGGAAACTACAAAAGGACAAGACTGTAAGATATTGATATTAGTAAGTAAACCCCCTAAGCTATTCGTATATTAGCTTGGTTATGCATTGATTAGCCTTCATACATCATAACTAAATCACTAATACAGTATCGTATCCACTTGGAATAGCATGGTTACTCTTGAAAGTTCTGAGCTTTCCGACTTGATTTCAACCGGAGAATCTACAAGCCTACAGTGTGCATGAGCACTTGTCTGAGAGGTTAGCCATAACAAAACCTGCAAAAACCTGAATCAGGTGAACTTTTATGAGTCTTTTTTGTGGATAGACTTTCTAGAATCATGAACAAGAATTGAGATAAAAATAACAACAGGGCACCTGAATTGATCCAAATATGTACAAGGCAGAGTACTGGCGCCCATGGATGACCATGTCTGCAACCATTGCCAGAGGTATGGTAAGGGACATGCTCAAGCTTGCAACAAATGGAGTCGTCCAGACCACAGACAGGGCCCTGCTTTGATTTCCATTAGAGAAAAAACACTCGGTGAGAATAGAAAATTCAGGGTAGGAAGCGTGAAATAATGAATTATTGATAAGGTGTCTGCCTTGCATACCAAAAATAATCTGAAAGAACGCTTCCTACTAAGCTATTTAGCAATACAATTTCTTCAATGGATGCCGAGTGTGGAAATCTGAACTTGGGTTCAATTCCCACAGCCATCAATGGCCAAACTGCATCGTAAAATGTTCACAAGAAGAATCTCTCAGAAAATGAGGAAAGGTTGGGTGTATGTCTTAGAATTGCAAACTTATCTTCTCTTTTTCCTTTTCCTTCAAATCTTTCCCCTGTTTCTAGCAAGTAGTAGAGTTCAAATAGAGGCATATTGAACTTACAAACAGAACAATTTATTACAATACAATTTTCGTACAACTTAAGCATATTTGTTTTCACTCCTTTGCTTCTTCTGACATACATTACTTTTTAACTCATGAATCAAGCCTAATCCATGAAAGTTCATAGGAACTATATACGGACTATGTCTTGCATGATGCTGATCAACTCAATATATGAATTATTCAACAGAAGACTATCTACTGGAAATGGCTAACCAAAAAATCCATAAGAGTCAACAATCATAGCGTCAAACCTATTTTTATGAGAATATTGACTTTAAACCTTAGACAATGTTATGGTCCCGCATGTAGGATCCCGTCACGGGTCGGTCCACGGTGCGAAAGCCCTGCTTCCCCTTGCGCCTTCCCTTGYTTGCARACCCGATTACGGAAACTGAATGGGTGATTTGTCCAAGAGACCACCCGAACTCTCCCTTGGGGTGATTTGTCCAAGAGACCACCCAAACTCTCCTCACTCTTT